ATAATCAAATGCTAAAATATTTGAAGTTTTGTTTCAATAAATTTTTATAAAAATCATATTACATTTAGAGTCTAAGTAAATTAAATTGTTAAAAATTCTGCGTTTAAATTATTGTCATGTACGAGTATATTGCAAAATAATTTTTTCTAATATTTTTATGTTTATTATCATTTTCTTATAATTTTATTTTCTTGTAATATTACATTATTTATTACTACCCTTTATTTCTCTTTTTTGAAATAAAAATGAAAGAAAATTTAATATAAATGCAAATAATGACTTTTTAAGATAAATAGTCTTCCCACAGGCAATAGTATGGGTGTGTAATAAAATACTTAATGTTATAAGAGAAAAAAAAAGAAATGATTTAGTAGCAAGAGATTACTGAATGAAAGAACATTTCTATATGCAAATAAATGCATCATGTATGCATACATAAATTTGTAGACTCAGGATATGCAAACTATTTCATATAATTCAAGGATTATAATATATCTTCGTTAAAATATTACGTTTAATACAGAATGAATATTGTAAAATTGCAATTAATTTAGATATAGAAATTATATTTAAAATGAGAATATTATTATATATTCATTAGTTTTATACAAAAATATTATAGTAATAAAATAATAAATTAAAATAATTTAAAATTTTTAAAATTTTTACATTGCGCTCGTTATACTCTGCACACCTTCGTGATATTAACTTTAGTATGGAGTTTTTAACCACTTGAATGAGTCGTCTGCCTTATGAACATGTAAATATATTTTCAGTCTGAAATTGAGCCATTTCCGTCCGTCAACATGTCAGCTCGATAACCCAAAAATGAATAATGTAATCGAAATGAAGGACTTTTTTCTGCCAAGGACAATTGCTATTGTAATTGACCAACTTGCGCAACGGTTTCAGGCATTTGCCATACAACTCCAAAATCTAATATTAAATATTCGGAAAAATAATAAAGTTAGATTTATGAAATTTAATCGTCGTGTGTCCAATTATAATGGTAATACTCGTATGTCAGATCAGAAATATTCATAAAGTTGCTGTAGAATAGTTTTACAGGTTTGAGCAATTGCTATGCAACAATGAATGGTGCAGTGTATACTTCAATCGATTTATGCCAACTGGAAAATTTTTACTTGTTTTTTTTTATATTAATGAGAATTTTTATAATATTTCATCATGTATTTATGGAAAAATTAAAATTAAAACTGAAATTTTATAAATGTTTTATCGGCCAAAGCTCTTGTATATACAAATATTAAATATAATCATTTAAATTTATTTATTCTTCAAATTTTAAATATTTTAAACTATAAATATTTTATTTAACAAATTTAATAAATTTAAGATCATATGATAAATATATAAGTGAGATAAGTTCCTTAAAATTCTTAAATATCCCTTAAAGGGTTGGAAATTTTCGAAGAGAACACAAATGTATACAAATTTTCTATGAAAATTTGAATTTAAAATTATTTTGTATAATATTTATGAACTACTTGTATTGTATTTTCAAATTTAAAATCTAAGATTTCTCAATTTAGTTTTACGCTAAGTACTTGTATTAAGTACTTGTAAATTAGAGCCAAAATTAATTGAAGTATGCAAAAAATTAACAAATGTTCAACAAATTATACAAAATATTTATGAAAAATTTTAAAGGCAAAAAACAAACAAGTGAAAATAAAATGCAATTTTCATTGAAAAACATGTGCATTTTTCCATGTGCATTTTTCCAATGAAATTTTTCATATATTAGGTTATTTCTATCTCTATATATATATATATATATATGTATGCTAGCTTCTCTTTTGTATTGTTTAATTTTCTTAATTTTCTTTTTTTTTAAACTGGGCCAACAGATAGCAATTCTAATACTAAATAAGCAGACTGAAAAGAAATTAAATTAAAAGAGAAAAGTTTTATATTTTATGCTTAAAAATTCAACACATACACAAAATACAGAATATAATATTTTATGTATGTATGTAATATAATATGTGTAGTCGAAAATTTAAATTGTATACTAGTTAATACTACATACATAGATGCATAGATGCATATACGCATGCAGTAAATGTATACAAGTTCATTAAATAAAATATTCTTAGATATAATTGTATAGGAAATGATATATTATGTATATATTGTTGTATTATGTATGTAATATATATTATGTATATATGAAATGCAATATTGCAATATTTCAATTCAAATTCTCATATTACTTTCTATAAATGTATATATATAGTTAGTTTATGTATGTAAATATTTAAACATATTGTTAACAAAATTGTTTTTTTTCTGCTATTGTTATTATTTAAGTTTTTCTATGCGCGGGTAAGTGAATGACACATGCTTATATATTTATATGAAAATCTATTATTACACACACACATTCTTGTGCACACATTCTTGTGTATTTTGCAGATATGAATAAAATATTTCTAAATGTAATTGTGTATAATATGTGTGTGAATTTTTTGCATTAAATAAAAGAAACAAAAGAAAATTTTGAAAAAAAAAAATGTGCTCATAAGTTTAGTTGCATTTTGCATTCATACAAGGTGGTGTTACATAACCAATCGAAAAATAATAAGAAAAAAAAAATCGAAAAGAAAATTTTTATAATTTTTTTTTTATTATCAAAAAATTGTATAAGAAAATTGTGAAATTAACATTATTTAAAAGATTAAAAATAATTTTCAAAAAAAAATTAAGAAAATTTCATAAAAGAAAAATTATTCCTTCAAGAAAATTATGGGAAATTTCATTAATAATTTAGGAAACATGAGGTATAATTTAATTATTTAAAATACGAAAACAAATTCTTAATTAAATTTATCAAATTTTTTGAAATTTTCGAAAATATTATTAAATTTCGCTACAGAAATCTTAAAACTATATGCTTTATAAGCATTATAAATATGAAATTTTAATAAAAATTCTACAACAATGTTGTAATACAATGTTGAAATTCTAACATAACCAATTGATTTGCTTAATCATTTATGAATAAAAAGTGAAATTAATTAAATTTTATTTTGTACACAGAAAAACCCATATTAAATTTAAAATTTTATTAATAAAATACAAAAAAATTGTTAAATAAAATTATTATTCAATCAACAACAAAAAATAAAGTGTAAATAAAATTTTCATTTTTTCAATTATTTTCTTTTAACACAATTTTTTGTTTTGTCGTGTTTTGAATTTTAATTATTTTTACTTACTAAAATACGCACACATGAATGTCAAATTAATAAAAAAAAAATTTTTCTAATTCACATTTTATTTTTGTTCATTTTATTGAATTTATTGATGTTACACAATAATTTATTGTAAATCATTTCTTTTATTAATAGTTAAAATAAATTTTAAATAAAAATTGTTAAAAACGAGAATAGCTGACCGTTGCAACTCTGTGATACCCGTACGAATAAACAATTTTAAGTGTCGAAGATAATTGATATAGAGTTTCATATATAACTTGCTTTTTATATATGTATAGTGCTATTTTACATATTCATGGTAGCTACCAGAAATAGCCAAGCAATGTGTAAGACTTTTATTAAATACAATAGCCCTAATAACATATTCGCTTGTACAAAATTAGCTTCAATACCAATAGCTTCTATAATTTCTGAGATATAGTCAAATAATTTTAACGTTGTATGGCAGCTCCAAATTAAATAGGGTTCTTGTATTTACTATAATAAATTATTTGTGAAAATTTGGTGAATTTAGCTTAATTATTGGCACGGACGGTTATTATCAGCACGGACGGACGGAAATGGTTAAACCGATTCAACATTGATTAAAAACATACATTTGAGTATATTTCCCAGACCATTATTTCTTAGCGTTACAAACGGTAAGACAAATTTAGTATGTATGAACATACGTTCGTACGGGTATAAAAAATTTTTTTAAAGTCTGTATATTTTGCTTTAACATGAGTTCATTTGAATTATTCTGGTTGTGTATTTTGATAAATTAACATAATAATATTTATGTTATAAAAATTTTGAATGAATCTAATTGTTACAAAGATAAAATTTGATAATTTATCGAGAACATGTTTATTACTAAGATAAGTATTAGTTGTCAAGTGAAATTTAATGAAAAATTTATATTTTGAATTAATTTAAAATTAAATGGTTTAGTTTAAATCAAAATTTTGAGTTCAATTAATAAATTAATAGTGTATTTAAAATGAAAACAAATATATAAAATTTTCTTGACTTCCATTTAAACACGATTACACAAAGATTTCCGGGGAATATTTGAAATTGACGTGGTAACAGGTTGAATTTAATAAATTTTACATATTCGCTGATTAGATTTCGAAAGTTTTTTGTTTTTAAATTGTGTGGTAAATATTAAAAAAGAAAGTTACGTCATACAGTAGAATCTCTGATAAACTAGTTTTCCTAAATAAAAATATTTCTATTTAGCGAACAATTTATTTGACAGTATAGTATTTATTACCAGGTTTTGATTACTCTTTGTGTTGTATTACTAACAGAAGATATGGTATATTGCACTTAATAACAGGATTTTATACTGTATGGACTTATTGGATCAAAATCCAAAAAATGGAATTTCTTTAATAAGTGAGATTTGTATTCCAGTTAAATTATTAACAGGAACATTTCTGTTGAATTATTCAATTTATGGAATAATATTATATAATTAAATTTTTTTCTTCTATTTATATCTGTTTATGAACTCTATTTTTCCCTGAAAGACTTGTATGTTAAGTTTCTGTTAAAATGATAGTAAAGTGATGGTTTTTGTAAGATATATAAATACCTTCTTCTTAAAACCTTCAAATATCATCAATATAACACGCAAAACCTACCTTAAATAGTCTTCAAATATTACTTTAGATCATCTTTATTTTTTGCAAAACATGCATGCACACATACATACATAATTAAAATGTTTTAAATAAAAATTCTAATATATCATTTTTTTCTTGTTTTCAGATTCCATTGGGAATAAAGTTTCCGAGAACTATATGCGCATATAATATATAACGAAATAATATCGTATAATTGATTAATATCGAAAGAGCATTAAATTGCATAATTAATAAAAAAAAAATAGTGAAAAAACGAAAAATATTTTCGAAAAACATTATTGTAATTACAACATTGTAAACAAAAAAAAAAATTCATTCAATAACCAAGAGAAAATATAGTATATAAATTGTGAATCACTCTGTACTATTCTTGTATGTGATTATATGAACAGAAAAAGAGAAATACACAAAATAAAACTCAATCTCTTTCTTGATTTTGTTCTCTTAAATAATTTCATAAAAGTTTATTAAAATTGGCAATATTGAGAGTAAAATTAAAAAAGCAAAAAAAAAAAAAATTTAAAAAAGTGTCATATAAAAAGTGAAGGTTTTTGGTTAAAAAATAAAATATAAAAAATAAATTAAAGCTTTTTTTTTATCTGAAGAATAAAAAATAAGCAAAACGGTAATATTTTGTAAAAAATTATTAAGAAATAACTTAAAACATATATTAATGCTTATCACAAATAATACCAGATGTGGTAAATTCATTGACCAAAAAAAGTTGCTATTAGAGCATTTGCTCATAAAGCTTTTCTTACTTTTTCAACTGTAAGTTGAATTTTCGTTGTGTTTAATATTTTTATAAATTGTATTCACATTAAATTTTTTTATTTAATAAAATATTAATTGAAAGTCATCTTTTGGGCAAAATTTTAGGATTAGAAATTTTGCATCTTTGACTCAATTCGAAGGAATTCTTAAAATGCCTTGGAAAAAAGAACATTTTGTTCGATTTTGTGCTGCAAAGCACTTTCCAATGACTTTCCAGAAATAATATTTTTTAAATTCTCCAAGGCCGATAGCGAGAAATATTTTCAATGGATAGAAGCCGTATAGGAGAATCGACAAATTATAGAACGAAAAGAAAAACATACATATACTCGTATAAGTGTAGTTTACCATTTTCCGGAAGATTCTTAAAAAAAAAAATATTTGATAATTTTGTATAATTTCGATAATAATTGAAGTTAATTCTAATATTTTTCTTATGTAACTTAATTTTTCTATTGCTAAAGGGATTTACTGTATAAACTATAAATTTTCGCCAAATTTTACATACTTATATTTTAAATATTTTTTTTTTGAAATCATTGAAATTTAACTCATACTGCAAAATAAATACATAAATTGTTTTATACATAAAATATTTTGAAACCAAAGTAAAGATTGTAATTTTAACCCTGGATTGCCATTACCCATTTCATTATTCTTATTTTTGCAATCATGAGTAGATTTTACTCACAGATCAAACTACCAAAAAATGCTAATTATTAAAGCATAATAATGGTAAATAATTCTGACAAAATTGTAGCTCAATATCGCTTTTCTTATTCCCCATATCACCCTTTTTGTTAATTTTTTCACTTTTGTACCAAATATGAGTAAATTTTACTCACACACTGATAGAGATCACATTTTTTTTGGGTTTTTTTTTTTTTGCTACAAACGTATTGATTGCAATAATACCAACAGTGAGTAAAATTTTACTCACAAAAAATAAAAAATTTTCTTATAATGCCAACGGTGAGTAAAAATCAGTCACAGCCTTTTAAAAATTCAATTAATATATAAAAATAGTAATATACAGACTTTAGTAATATAACTAAGACATTATTTATATATTATAGAATGCACTTTAGAAGAGACAATAAAATTAAATTCGATATATTCACTATTAAATTATATTCGCTTTTAAAGTTCGATGTGAGTAAATCTTACTCACGGTTGGCAATCCAAGGTAAAAACTGATAATTTAAATGCAACAATTTTAAAGCAATGTCAATAAAAAATTAGACTAAAATGTAAAATAATTCTATAATTTTAATGTTAAATAAAGTAAAAACAAATAATTTATTTTCAATGAGAGGTGACGAGGTAAATAATCAGACCTAACTTGAAGTATTACTACACATACTAGATAAGTAGATAAAATTACAAGATAAGTACATTAAATGATATTTAGATTAGTTAGTAATACTATAATGATTGAATATAGTTAATAAAATTTAGTTATTATATTTTGTATTACATAAGAAAAGAACGTTTTTTAATAACAACAAAAATAATTTAATAAAAATGGACAAAAGATATCAAAAACCCTTTCTGCCATTGAAATTTTGATGCAACACTTTTTTCTACATTATATCTTTTGCACATCTACATATCTGTGTATTATCTGTGATATTGTATACGTTTTAAATAGTGTACTTGCATTAGTACAGCTACATACATATAAACAGTATTTTAATTGCATATTAATTTTTCATATTTAAGGTAAAGCTTCCACCAGAAAAAAACTGAACTGTGAGTTAAGTTAAATTCTCTCTTAAAAAATATTAATAATAAAATACAGAGAAAAATTAAATAAAAACGAAAACTATTAAAAATAAAAAAAAAAAATAAAAGAGAAAATTCTGTATGTTAATGTATAGTGTTTTCCCTTTCTAATTCATGTTATCGTGATTTGTGGTGAACGACGACTGCGTGCATTATATAAAAAAAATTAAAACTATTAAGAGCATAAACAAGAGCTTTTTTACAAAATTCAAATAAATAAAAAAATCAATGTATTTGTTTAAAGTTTTCATAAGTGGTATTGTATATGTGTGTGTTTGAAAAAAAAAACAAAAAAAATATACTTATGCAACTATTTTATTAATTCATTTATAAATTACAACAAGAATAACAAGAACGAAAAAATTATATTTGACTGGGAACTTCTTATGCATAAAACATAGAAAAGAGTAAATAAAATAAATACATATACATACATACATATATTTATTGTATATAAAACATAAACATTCAATTTCAATTAAATTTCAATTTAAAAGAGAATTTTTGTTTTTTTAATGTAAAATATCCAAATCTATAGATAATTCTACAGTTATTAACGATAAAGTCGTATAGAGACTCACAACAGTTTAACAAAAAAAAAAAGAATTTTGTAAAATAAAAATTAAAATAATATTTATAAAAAATTTAAAAAATTTAATTTAAAAAATAATAAAAAAAAAACAATTTGTGTAACAATAAAAAAAAATTAAAAATTTTAAATAAATTTACGTTGTGCTCATAACGTAATTCTTATCTCGTATAATATTGAAAATTTGTTTAATTTTCTACACAATTAAAAGTGAAAAAATTTTAAATGAATTTCAATTGGAAAGGGACATCCAACCATATTATTTATTAATTAAATAAAAAAAAATACAAAATATAAAAAAATAAAATCTTTATAATAAAAAAAAAATGTTTAAATTTCTAATGAAATGTTAATATCGAATTGAAAAACAAAAATTTCTTTTTTTTTGTTTATTTTAACTTAAAAATTTTAATCTAAATTTTTATATATATATGAAATATATAATATTAAGGTCAAAAAAACCTTAAAGAGCAGAGAACTCAAAACTTAAAAACCCCAAATCTAAATCGCATTTCCTATGCTAAATTATCGATTAATATCAACACATTGTATCAAACAGCCGTAGATTGATTATCAGAGTGTAAAAAAGACATTTTGGATTAAAGTATAAAATTGAATAATTAAAATTTTCTATATTTAAATAAATGTAATATCGAATTTTTAATAAAAATAATTCAAAGAAAATTTGATTTTTAAGGAGCAGAAAAAAAAGGAGGAAAAAAAAATTAATTATTATTTCTTTTATCGTATTTTTAGAATATATAGAAGCAGTATAACAAAAAACACAATAAACATATTTCATATATTATAAAGTAGCTCAGAATAAAATACACAAAATATCACAGAATCAAAAAATTTAATTTATTATATACAATAATTATTGTGTTTTTGTTTTTTTTTTTTAAATATAAATATAACATTTTAAATAACACACATATCGTAAAAATTCATCATTCATTAACTAAATCAAATTAATTATTTAAAATTTTTCAATAAAATTAAAATAGACAGAATAATAAATTAATTAAAAGTAATAAAATAAAATAAATAATTATTTTTTTTTTCAATACAATTTAAAAATCATCATAGAATTTTCAAAGTAATATATTGAAATTCTAAAAAAAGATTGAAATTTCGTTACCCTGGCAAATTTTTAATTATTAACCGCAATCACGTATTCGTTTAAAGAATTTGTTTTACTGTTTGCGATCCGTCAGCAACTTAACCGTGAAAATGTGCAGAGATCGAGATATGTTTTTACCATAAACTTATTCAGTTATCGTCAATTTAAAATAAAGAAAAAATTCTTAATAATAAATAAATAAATTTTGCATGAAGAAGAAAAAAAACGAATTTAATTATTAATATTGTAAAGAAATTACGAAAAATTTAATCCCCTCAAAGCAAAAAAAAAAAAATTAATAAAATTAACATTGATATTTTGTAAAAAAAAAAACAAAAAGGTAATTAAATAAGTCAAAAGGAATCAGCAAGAAAGAAGACGAATCATTTTCTGTCTAGGGCTACTAAAAGGCTAAACAAAAAAAAATTTTTTTGCAGCAAAATTTATTTACGGATTAAAGGATTTTAAGGATAAAAAGTAATAGCTTATTCTTGTTTTCAACCATAACCTTGTTCAAATATTGAATATATTGTATACGGATCGAAGAAATTTATATATGCAGATCCGTAAAGTTAAATCAAAAATAAGGCGAGAAAACAATTGAATTTGATAAATTTGATGAAAACTGAAGTTTTTGCAAAATAGAAAGCAAAAAATTATTAAGTTATTGGAAGACGGAAAAAATTTAACACAAAACATAATATCGTAATTATAAAAGATTTGTCTGAGAAGCAGAAAATTTAAGTTTTCCGATCTCTAACCAAGGTGTTTGAACAGATCTACTAAAACGAATACAAAGTTTTATTTTGAATTTTCTTTGTAACTTTTAATTTTGAAAAATTTGCAAAGATATCATATTAGGAATAATAGTTAAAAATATTCAAGAAGAATATTTAGAAAATTCTTATATATATATACATACAAAATAATCCGAATAGCACTTTGAAATAGTGGAAACGGATTTTATGCAGTAAAAACGGAAAGTATTTTACTCGAAATTGACGTTCATTTGATTCATATACAATTTTATTTTTATATTTGGGCTGGCTGAGAATTGGGGTGAATTCAGAATAAAAATTGTAAAAATAATTGCTGAATAAATACGCAGAAAAGAAAAATTAATAGATCCATACCGTAAAAATACATATTACAAAAATTTTATCGTAAAATTATAAATCATAAATTAAAGAAGTTTTTTTATTGTTTCTATCTTTTAAAATTAATTAACGACAATAGAAATCATCAAAAAAAAAATTACAATTCAGTAACAACAATTTATTATTCGAAAAAAAAAGCCGGAATTGAAACGTGCTTGCTTGCCTTCAATGCTAAGAATTTTTGGATAAAATAAACAAAGCAGAAGTAAAAAGGAGAATTAAATAAGAAGGAGAAGCATAGAGAGAGAGTGGAACACACATGAAATATAGTAACAGTAGTTGTAGCAATAGTAAATGCAAAACATACAAGTAAAAAATATTCGATATTTAATGCAAAAGAAAAAAGAAAATATTTTAAGATAAATGAAAACCGGATACAAAAATTTTCTTGACAACCGGAAATAAAATATAAAAGAGAAAATATTGGGAAATTTTTTAATTTCTTCGTTTGTTTTTCACACTTTTTTGTATTTCTTTGATGATGAAAATACAAAGAAGGTAAACGTGCAGAAGAATTTCTTTTTTTGAAAAAAAAATCTCTGCAGAAACATAAATAAATGTATAGAGACAAAAATAAATAAAATAAAAAAAATATTTAATAAATAGAAAAATACTCAATAAATAATTCAAATTTTATTCATAATAGTATAAAAATCTTACAAATTTAAAAGAAAGATCGTACCGTAATACTTTTTTGAAATTCTTAAGACAAAACTTTTGTAATTTTACAAAAAAAAAAAATATATCTATATATATATTTGTTTTTAACGTGTTTTGATACTTTGTCATAATTTTTTTGCATATTATAAAGTACTTAAAAAAATAAAAATATCGTTTCTTAATAAAATATCACAACTTAATTAAATTAAATTTATTAATTAAAATATATAATTAAAAATATTAAAAAAGAAAAAATAGATAAATTGAAATTTAATATATAAAGTAATTTTTTTTATTCAAACTAAATGTTCGTGTGTATTTGATTAACGTATGTCGTAATACGTTGATCGTAAGTTTATATTTTAAATATTTGATCTTTATATAATTAACTAATACTTAACTCTATATATACTAGCATTGAAATTTTATAAATTTTATAAAAAAAATTAATTAAAAATACAAAAAAATTATATGCAATATCGTAAATTCTAATATCGTAAATTCTAATATCGTAAATGCTAAGTAAACACATAAAATTATACGTATATTGTTATACACTTAAAAAGAAAATCATTTAAATTAATAAAATATTAAAATAATACTTAATTTTAAAGTGTACTTTGTTTACCTTTTTTTCTACATAAATATACAACCATTCATAACTCTTTATAATAAAATTATATTTGAATAAAAAAACTAATATAATTAATATTTCGATAAATATTCTATTTAAATGTAATTATATATTTAATTTTTTTCTTTTTTTTTTTGGAAATAATATTTGATATAATTCTGTTAAATGTGAATGAGAAATTTAATATCGTAAAAACATAATTAAAATATAAAACTTGCATAGTAAGTAATATCGTGTAAAATATTATATTTTCAACTTTAAAGAAAAAAAAAATTATAAAATCTATTTTAATATTTCTATAATTTCGAACGACGGATCTAAATCGAAACGAAAAAGAAGAATAACGTAAATTTTCTTCTTAATTTTTTTTTATTTATTTTTTTTTTTAATTTTTTTTAATAAACTATTATAATAAAATAAGAAAGAGAAAAGACGACGAAAACCATTTAGAAAAAAAGGACGAATATTAAAAAAAGAAAAACACGAAGAAAATCAGAGCAAGAAAGGAAGCAGTCAACAAAGAGAAAATCTTATAGCAAAACAAATAAAAAAACTTCAAGATTGAAGAATTTGCAAGAGATCTTTGGAAGTCTGTTAAGGCTTGCGTTGTAAGTACAAAAATTTTATTTTTATTTTTATTTATATAAATTTATTTTTTTTTGTTTATTTATTAATTTATTAAATTTAATGTTTTTTTTTAAAATATCGTATTATAGAAGAAACACAGAGTTTGTACTCTCCTGAATTCTTACATGTGTATTCAGTAGAAGTTTCGACATTGTAAGATTAAAATTTTAAAAGGGGTGAAATATATTTCGCTCCACGAAATTTATAACTTAAAAATATAAAATCAGCTGATTTCTTAGACCTAAGTATATCCTATTGCAACAATCAATTTTTATTTTCTTTTAATCAGTTAGTCAATAAATGTGCAAAATTGCTTTTCAATAAAGAGTTAAAATCAGTAATGAACTAATTTATTTGAAACTTACGACTAACTATAGACTATTGAGCTGTGACATCGTCTGCATACATCGTCTGGTCTACTCATTAGCCCTGTACAATGGTGTATAGCAGGGCACTTTGATACGAGACACTATGTATAAAATATTATAGAAAAATAGGATTTAATTATTTTCTTAGAAATTATTAAAAATTTTAAATGGTCACTTAAACGGCAGAAATTGATCATCCAATTAATTACGGGAAGGTCTTTTTTCATGAAAATTCAATATGTGAAATTTAGTACGATCCCCATATTTGTGAACTTTTTGCTTACTAAATAAAATTCTGTGCGTGATAATTACATAACCTGTTCAAAATACTGTAATAGGCGACATAATAAGAACATATGTGCAAACTACAAACATACGAGTAGATAGTGTTTTAAATTTATTATTAATTATGAATTGAAAACAAGTGTTCAAAAATTAAGTTGAAAAATATTAAGTTCTGTTGAATAAATTTAAATAAATTCCGTTGACTTAATTAAAAAGCAAATTAATTTTTTTTTTAATCTATTAAACGAACTTAAATGAATATTTGCAACTTTTATGGTGACATTAAATGAATTTTGTTTAAACTTAAAATATTTATATATGTAAAACTAGAATATCTTCTATATTAAGATATATATGTATGTAAAAATATATGTAAACTCAATATTTAAAATTATTAAAGTGTCACGCTTCATGTAGTTTTATTAATTATTGAATTGTTTTTAAAATGAATTTCATTATTTTTATCAAAAAATTTAACACTTGCACTCCGATTGAATTTTGTATAATCGAAATTTAATAGATTAAATTTTATATAAGAATACCGGCCACATTGTTTTTTAAAAATAAAATTATTTTTAAAACTATTGTTAAATATACTCTTTAATCTACATATATACATAGCTTGCTGCTTACACCGTACCCTTCCTAAGATAATCAATTATCTTATTCAACTCAAATATCGTATAGGCAAAATCAGTTTTCATTAAGAATTTAATGGCAACGAAATTTTTTCGTACACAGCTGTTTTTTATAAATTGATCCAAAAATCTTACCGTGTTAACCAAAGGGTTAATAATTACAAAGAGAATATTTAAAGCATAAGTGTAATTATAAAATCAATTTTATTTAATTTTTTCACATTGTTTTTTTTTTTCATTCTTATGAAAGAAATTGCATATATATACTGTTATTTCAATAAAAATTAAATGAACACATAATGTCTAGTCAGTAAATTAAAAGTATTGAATAACATAGAGGCATATGTAAGTATATGTGTATTCGGATATAATTTAAGTTTGACCTATGGATATCAATTTCATTTCAATTAAAATTACTCGTATACTTACATGTATACAAGTTTAAATATTGTAAAATTTCTGATGATACAATGTTATTTTTGTGTGTTTTTCTTTTTGCAATTCTTAATCTGGTTAGTATATTATTATTCAAGTACATGTGTACTTATGTTACATTGTATAATATTTAATATCGTATATATACAATTTAATGTGGTATGCTAATTTAGTGGATATAGAATATGAAAATAAAAAATTATTAACTATTATTGTTGACTTTAGAACATATTGCATTGTTCTAAAATATTTTTCAATATTCTTTAAATATTATTCTCTGATCTGCTTTTAGAATAGACTTAGTGTGCCCTATTTAGATCAAAATTAAAAATAAATTTAAAATTAATGTTGTTAAATAAAAGGTTTTAAACGTTTTAAAATTGAATATTCACAAATTTTACATTAATAATTTACATGTAGTTCAATATGCAGGTGACTAAGCAGAAAATAGAGTTTTAAATTTTCTATCAATAAAGGTGACCGCAGATTTTATAAATGGCAAGAGAGAAAATTGAGAATTAAAACAAAATTTAATGGTAATTTATTGGAATTCTATTTCTAGCAAATTTGTAATCTTATGTGTCCAAATAGAAATTAAAAATGGTTATTTAGCCAATATAGTATCTATTTAATTTTAAACAAAAGAGGGAGTAGTCTTCGTTAGATATGCGCATTCATTAGAAGTTATGCCAACGTACGAATGAGTTTTAGCCTGAATTTTCACTATACTTCAATTATTTACCTAATATAATAAATTTTCAGTCAATATTTACTTATTTAAAATTTCAATTAATTTTGTTATATAATTTCGAACTATTTGAATTTTTTATATGAACCCGAATTTAAAATTAAATTAATAACATAACACTAATAATAAATAGTAATATTGAAAGTCCTTCTATCTTTTCTACACATACTCGCGTTAAATACTACATTTCAAACAAGTTAAGTTCACCTTTTTACATTTTAGTTAAACTAAATTTTCAATTTTAACCTTAACTCGTTTATATTTGACATTCATGAATACTTATATTTATATAAAAAGTAAATATACATATACATGGAATTGTGTATGTAATTGTTAAAAAGTGCATTTTACTATTATTCTTATATAGATTTTAAGATTAACATAACATAACAATAGATGTGTGCAAGTAAAATTTATCGAAAATTTCATTGAATACATAGTAAGTATATTAGTAAATAATAGTGCAATAGCCAATTTGGGGGTCAAACATACCGCAATGTTTGAATTTTTTTTTTTGTTCTCAAAATAGATTTTTGTTATTGAATTTATTAGTTTTTTTATAATATCTTATAAATAAAATATAATTTCAATCTAATATTTTTCAAGAAAAAATTGACCGAAATTAGAATTATTACCTTATAATTTTGAGAAAATTAAATTTAAAACTTTGAAGTCCTAATCATGTCTAATATTTGAAGCCTAATCGTGTATCTTCTTTACTCACTTTTTATTCACTTGCAAATCAAAATTCTTAGTATTCTCTAACCGGTATTTTTGAAATGAATAAATTTTGTATACATTTTATAATTTTGTAAAAAACGGGATACGCAAATACGTACGTAATGTTAGTTAATCACTTTGTCCACTTACCTCTTCAATTCTTTTCACTCGAAAATTACATTCACAAATATATGATAATAACTCACTTGCCGAGTGAAAAAGCGAGATAGACTATCAGGCCCTAAAATTTGTACATTCAACATAATTTTCGTAAACAACTTGAATTTTTATTTATTTGTATCTATATCAGTCGATTACACCCTTAGTTCTTGCCTCATCAAAATATTCTATTACATATTTAATTGGCAAAATTTAAATTACCTTATTAAACACTCCATGATATTAATTACATGAGTGGTTTCTTTTAATCCCAATTCCGAAAATATTATGTGAAATGTGTATATAGAGAATAAGCTATATTCAATTTTTATATAGCGTACTTAAATATTAGGTTACAAGAATTTAAAAAAAAATATTAATTTCAATAGCACAGTTGCTCTCTAGTACTAGAAAAGTGCCTCTAAAATATTATTCATGAAAACAAAATTGATTTTGTTCTCGATAAAATTTAAAAATATCATTAATTTTTTTTTTTAATCTGAAATATTTATATTTTATTTTTAATCTTAAACAAATAAAAAAAATTCATCAATAATCATAATAATTTCCCAAAAAATTTTACATGAAATATTTATTCCATTTAAATTTCATTGTTTGTTTGCAATCAATACATTTTGTAAAAATTGAATTCAAATTTGATCAAAATATTGAATTCAATTTATGATAAGAACAATATCCATTTTATATTTTAATAATTTTTTTTATATTCCAATTGAAATTCCTAACTCAATATACATACATACGTTTTTTTTTCTATTTTAGAAAATCAATCAATATTCAATATATATTTTTTCCATTCTTAAATATATCAAATTAGTGTGTATAAGCAAATATTTCTGTATATACACAATGTGTTCATATTAAATAAGATATTGTGAAAATAATATGAAATTGAAAATATTTTTTCGTTATATTCCATATTTTTGTGTAAATTTTTTTTATAAATATATATACAAGTATGTACATTGTGTGTGCTATTATACAAGTAGGTTATGTATATAAAAATTATACATATTAATACAGGGCCGGATTTACTATGCTAGCAATTTTTGGGTTAATCGTTCATTGAATACCCAGAAGAGCGAAAAGCCATTCTAGGAACAAAGGTAAAAACGTTTTCTAAATGTTTCGCTTCTAGTCGAAGAGCACTTACAGATTTTCAATTAATCCTGTCATCGATAATTTGCCGAATAAAGTCAACTACAATTTTGTCAATACAAAAATTGTTAAGGCAGCCAAAAAAAATTTTTGCTTTATTGCAAATTTGAACCCAAATTTTAGGATTATTATCAAAATTTCAAACTTGGAATTGATTTCGTTTCTTCTTGAAAAATGCTTTTTGTATATCAAAAATGCCTCTTACGAAGAAATAAGGCAAAATATATTTTATACATTAAGTATAGAAAATTCATCCATTTTTCTATCTTACTTTAAAAAGTATTATTATTGTTTAATGATAAAAAACCTTTAATATAGGGTTCAGTTAAATCCGTCACTGATATAGTCTATAACTATTTAATATATAGTTATATTTAGTTTCTTCACTTGAATATTGATATAACAGAAAATTAGATCAATTAACCTACTTATAAGTAGATTGATAGATA